GTTTGAGTGATGATAAGTACTTTGTTCACTTTTGAATAGTGGACAAAGTAGGAAGCTTTGTAAAAAAAAAATAACAGCATTTAAATAACTTATTTTACATGTTAGAATGTTTGTTGATAAGATAAATATGTTTAAGATTCATGTGTTAATTTAGACTTTAGGATATTGACTCATATCCAAAGCATAATTTGCAGCAATCCGACAGGCTGTCCAGACAGATTGGATCAGATATAAGTTTCTCTTCAGAGACTTAAGACTTGACTAGGACTTTAAAGAATTTGGAGATGGCTCAAGGTAAGAAAACATTTCTTCAGAAAATATCCTCTTTACACTAATGTCTAAGCCTATGACTTGTTAAATTAACATTGTTTTGCATCTTACAAAAAAATAAGAAAATTAAAATAGAGGATTTTTATGAATCCTATTTTTTTTTTTTTTAAGGATCAAAAGGTTGTTTACTTTTTCAGAAAGCCCTGGCTACCATTTGGCAGATGAAATGAGGCCTTTACATCAAACAGACTTATGTCACAAGCTGACATTTATCCCAGATTTTTATGGCTTTGTTTAAATGTGAGGTTTGTCTCAGTTCTGATCTGCTCCACATTGTTTGATTTTGATGCTTTTTGAACTCAGTTGTTCTCGATCTGCCTTCATGCTTACCTGTTGTTTTGAAATACTTCCCATAAAAAATATAAAGAAATTTATTTTGTACTTTCACCACATTATGCAAGAGGAAGTACAGAATGAACAGGAGAAAAAGACAAGAACATTTGCATGTGTAATAAAGGGAATAATCTGGCATTAGTGATTGGCTAAGAGAAACCAAATCAGGATATGAAACAAGAGCCCTATTTTCACAGGATAACCCATGAAATAAATACATTATTCCCCAAAGTCTGCTTTTTTATATGGCACGTTTGCAAGAGACAACTAAACACTGAGATTTTGCTGAAATTTACAAACATCTCCTGGATATGACGTTAACATACTATGTTGCGTCGACTTGAGGAATGGCGTGAGCTGATGTTCCATAGCTTGGTTCTTTGTTTCTTATTCAAACATGATTCTGACAAAACAGTGCAATGCATGACGTTATGAATGACGTGAGCTGCCATTTGAATTTGATTTTGCTCCTTATGTTCAACCTGTTCGTATAAACATATTTGTTTATGTGTCAAAAAGGTTTTGCTGCTGGTCAAAAGGGTTTCAATGCATTCCAATGCAGCCTCCATTTTTAGCTAAAAGCAAATAAAAAAGCATCCAAGAAAATTAAAACTGCCTATTTGCATTTTTGATCTTGCCCATTTCTGTCCAAATAACAGAAATCCACATTGAATTAGTATTATCACAGGGCCTCAGAGTTCAGCTATAGGGCTAAAGTTTAATTCACTGTGTTGTTTTAATCCTTCCGTAGTTTTAGTGTGATACTCTAGAGGAGCGCGGACAATATCACGGTCAGACAGCAACTCGGAAGAACCGCACACTGGGTCAATCTTACTCTGCCAGACTGCGCAGAGTAAAAAACTTGTAGGATCTAAACGACCCCGACTCTTAAGACTGTGAGAGGGTTAATTGTTAAGGTTGTTTTGGACTGTAATTTAATCTAAACTTACACTATGTGATTAAATGTAGACTGCATTAGAATAAATAATACTGATCTGAAATTAATTACGGATTCAGATGGATGTGAATTTAGGCGAGAAGATCCTGGGTTTCAATCAAATCCTGGGCATGTGTTGGTTTTTCCGTCTATCTGACATGAACACCATGCCCTCAAGTTTGTTTTCCTGAGATTTTGCTGAATAATGAAATGATACTGAATACTAAAGAGAAGTTCTCCTTGACTCTCGGTCTGGTTAACTTGACATTGTACTGTTCACTGTTGACCCTAGTCATTCACACAAAACAAAGACTCTGAGCTCTTACCATGAATAGATCCCAGTTCTTCAAACACAAAATGCAGAAGATATTTCCACAGAGTAAAGTTTTAAATAAGTACAGCTGGTGTTACGAAGTTATATCTTAAAAAGCACTCAATCTTTGTGAAGTCACCATTTGGATGAAAGACTATTTATTCTAACATTAGACATTATTTTACAGCTTATTGAGTGATTGTATTTGTGTTTACCCCTATGTTGATTTCTTGGTATGGTCATATTTTTGTTGAATAGGTTTAACTCTTTTTCTAAGTTTGACTTTGAGTTGCCTCAGATTTTTCGGGAATGTAAGATAAACAAAATGTAATTAAAACCGAAGCAGTGACATGAACGTACACATTTTTATCTGAGTGCATATTCAGCCTGATAAACATGGCAAAATGCATGGTAATGTGACAGAGGGTCTATGTTCAGTTGTGCTGTTTTGCATGTTATAAATGACTCCCAGCAGGTGCCAGCTTGCCTCACAGTCCTCCGAGGACTTCTCGAAAATTATTGGTTAATTGCTGCAAATGATAATACCACACAATGAGGGGAGCACCTAATCACATGCTTAAGAATAAGGCACTAACCAAAAATAATTTGTCTCTTCTTCATCATTTGCAGAGGATCATAAGCTAATGCATCTTGATGTTATTTGCGCGGATTAAAAGGCCTGTTTTTGTTCGTTTGTTTTTATTTCCAAGCACAAATTCACTGTGTACTTCCCTGAGTATACCTTGATATTATAAGGTCAGACAAACTTTACCTTAACGACATTGTAGCATCATGCATTTACTGTAGATTTGCCAGTTCCGCCATATGCCAGATGTGATTTAACTGTGGAGGGCACTACTGTAAAACCCATGGTTGTATTCAAGAAGCCAACCTAAAATATTGTGCATTTTCCACATACGATAGGTACAAAAGTTGCAATCGTCTGCCTACAAAAAAAACCAAAAAAAAAGTAAAACAAAAAATAGCTAATAATGAAAAGATACACATTGCCGCAATTTAGTATAAACTGCTAATTCTATAAATTCATGCAGCGGACAGACGTGCTGTAAAGCTAATCTTTGCTTGTACATGAAAGAAAAATAAATGAAAGGGGGAATATTGGTTTATGTGCTATTTGTGTCCTACTTTATAGCACTGAACCATATATGTTTGTTGCACAGTGAATCACAACTCCAAGAAGCCCAGATGTTTGTTTACTGAATTAACTACCAAAACCAAAAATGTTTGTTTCATGCAGTTGAACCTAAAAGTTGAGTTAAATTAAAATATAACATATATAATGTTACGTTTTGATACATTTTACTCATTGGTCTGGATGGAATAGTGGAATAAAGTGACCAACTCACTCTCTTTACTCAAACTCACCTAGCAACAACTGCAGCACTTTAAAGTTTGCCTCATAGCTGCTTAAAGAAACAACAAAACAACCCAGAGGAGTGAAAACTGGGGATGAAAAAAGTTCACTCAGTTTGTAAGCATTTTTGATATTCACAACAAAAAAACAAAAAAAAACAATCAATAACTATTGATGTTAACACATACAAAACATTTTTTTAGTCATACCGTCCGCTCCTTAGAAATAATGAATATTCCATTGAAACAATCCAAACAAAATGTGTTTTATGAACACACTGATTAAACTGTGAAGCAGCATGTACAACACATTTTCCCAGTTGACATAGCTTGAGCTACTTCCAGATTACTACAACCAGATTAAAGTACACTGTTGGGAAGGAAACTCTTACAGCCTACAGCCTGATTCCTTTAGAGCATTCCCTCTGTGCTGGAAGGTTCCCAGTGTGGCCTTTCAGCATGAGGTGAGATTTCTGACAGACAGATTATCTGGAGACAACAGGCACCCACTTCTTTCATTGAAATTTTTATAGGAGCAGGTGCAGGAAGTGAATAATGCAGCAGCATATAGAACCTGGCAATTGATGTACCCTTCTGTCCTAGCACACAGGGGAATACTCCCTCTCCATGGAGTAAAAGAGAGGGTATTATGCTGTCTCCCAAGAGACTGACGATCAGCTGGGACCAAATCAATGACATACACAACCTCTGGCTTTAGCCTGTGTTGCTAAAGGAGGAATTCCCCTTTTGGGAAATGTATTTGTGACAAAGCCTTTGTGGGTTGGTCCCTTGTTTTGCCCATGTTTTGGAAAAAGTCCTTGCGCTTAACTCTACGTAAGTCTTGATCCACTCATACTGTTGCTATGCAGGGCTGTGACAAGAGTAAATGATACACACCTACCACCACTCACTTTCTGGTTTGAGGGTAGTTAGCTTAGGTTAAGACTGCATATTTCTGACTGCATGTCTAATTTGCATTTTATTCTATAAGCTGGTCCACATTGTAATAAAACCACTCCTGTTCTACTTTGTCTGAATCCCGAAATTATTGAAGACCATTTCAGAAAAACATCTGCCATGGTTCTAAGATGAATTTGTTGGCCTCACTGACTTTAAGTGCTTTGTTCAAGGTCCAGTCCTTCCATGTTAGAGAGATTCTCTCAACCCAATGTGAATAAAGCAAAACAGAGAATATAGCGCATCTAGATCAGTTCATTGTTTTCTTTTTTCAATGTCGGGTTTTTTTTTTTAGAAAAACAAACATTGTTGTGCTGTATTTTTTTAAATGCTGGATTTTGTCTGAGGCTGCAGTTTTGTAGCTGTTGGCTTTCTCAAATCAGGATTTTATGAAAGTCCTTTTTTATGTCAAATTTTACTCAGTGATCATTGTATCGGCTCTCAAAATAGATGTTAGCCTTCTGAAATCAGTGTCTTGCACCTGGTGATACTGTGTTTCAGAGAGGATGTTGGGTAATACCTCAGTATTGACTGACAAACTGATGACCTCCCAGCAACAAGCACATTCATTAAACACTGGATATTAGGATCAACAGAATAACTGCGCAGCCTCGTGTGAATCAATAGCTGTAAAGGTCATGACAGTGTATGAACGAAGGCATAAATGCATGTGTGTGTGCATGTATGTGTGAGTATCATCCAAAAAAACATTTCCTAACTCATCAATATCCTCTCACCTCTCTGTCTTCCACCTAGATGGTTTATAAGCCCTGGCTGTGTTCTCAGTACTTCCAGACCACCCAGATACACTGCAGCAATCGAATCCCCTGTGGCCAGTACTGCCTGGAGGTTCAACAGCGCTGCCCCTTTGTCCTCCCTGACAATGATGATCTCATTCATGGAGGCAGCCCAAGTTTTGTATGCACAGGTAAAATTGACTTATCTCATATGTAATTCAGTTTTTTTCTGTTGTCTGTTTTACCAATGTGCATATTTGTTTGTAAATGTATTGTTGTCTCAAAACATACAACTACAGTCTTTATAAAAGACTTACATCTTGCTCTGGCTGTTTTTATGTGGCAGTTTGCCAAAGTACTAGCCTAGAGTTAGTATGTTTTGCACAGTTAAGGTCAGAATAATTACTTCCCTGGACACAATCACAGAAAAAAGCTCTCCATTTCCTTGTAAATGACCATAATAAAACTTCTCATACTTGCATTGTCTCCAAAGAAACAAAGACTAAATCTTTACAAATCTGTATATGTTCTATGTATTTTATTGAAGTGTTTAATTGTGACTATAAAACTGCAAAATGTGCAATGTGCAATAGCGTGGCCTCTGTGTAAATAATGTTAAAAGCAAATGGAAACATAGCTTCACTGAACTGATTGCAGATAAAACTTGCAGAATAAAATACTTATTTTGCTTCAGACTCAAATAGTTTTTTAGCAGGTCACACAACACAGTCAGGCCTTAAGCTGCTGCAGCTATAGCCTATCTCTGTCACTGTGAACCTCATTATAAAGACTGAAAAAAGCTTAGATTCTAAGAGGAAATCAAGATGCAATCAACAAAATAATTTACAGCTGGAACACAGTTTTCCAAGCTGACCCTCAGAAAATAGATGTTACAGTCAAAAACTGACCCTGCAAATTAAGGCTGTTTCACCAGGGATGAAGTTACCCAATCAGGGTACAAACGAGCTATGGGTGTTTTACCAGAACCAATCGTTTAAAAATACCATAATCTAAACCCTTGACCTAAAACCTGGTGTCAGACCAGCACTCCACTTCTTTAAAACTTTAACAAGATTTGTAGCATATCTAGTGTCTTATTGCTATTTTAATATCCCACCAGATGTGCTAAGAGTTTTATTGGTGGCAAATGCCAGTATACAAAATCAGCGGTGTAAGAAACGTTTTCTTTATCACCACACACACACAGACAGCTTTCATTCACTATGCGAAGCCATGTTACCGTAAAACTGCTGCTCTTGTGTGCAACAGTGGCATTGTGGGGTTCTATTGCATAGCTTATGCTGCCTCCTGGAGGTCATGTGGAGCAACACAGTTGTAGGTTATCAGATCCGATCAGTGAAAATAAGCATATTTGGCTGCATTTGGTGGTTTGAATATGTGTTTTTATTGTATTTTTTATTAAAATAAACAAAGTAAGGCTAAAATTCAGAGTTTGAAATCTTTTTAGCTGCCATCTAGATACTCGCCTCCGAATGCACTAGCCTTTGATGAACTTCAGTCTGTGTTCGTGAGGATAAATCAAAATGTAAGAGTGAAAATTCAGGCTTTCCACTGTTAGTAGAATTTTATCTCCATATTAATCTGCCTTTACATGCCTTACAACAATTACAAGCACTTTTTCCATGGCGAAAAATGCTTCCTCTCTCTATCACACTGGATTTTGAGAAGATTTGGGAAGTTGTCCATTTGCCAAAAAAACCCTGATAAGAAATCAAGCCAATATCAGACTGCTATTTTGCAAAGGTTTTGACAAGTAGTACACCTTCTTGTATGAAAATAACTTGATTAGGTCTTTAAATTGTCTCCTTTATCTCATCTAAAACATCCAGGGTTGCTGGAAGCATACCCATCAGGTGTTGACCCAAATGCAGAGTGCTGTGATGTGCGGTGGGATTCAAAAGTGGACAACCGTTCCAGAGGGACCCTAAAAAGAACTCACCCGCCATGCCAGCATCGTACCTCCCTCAGCTCCTCGGCAGCCTGCAGACTGTGTAACAGCCGGCTCAAACTCTGCCTGCTGGTCCTGGTCCTCCTACACACTGTTGCCAGCCTCACTGCATCCCACAATGCAACAGGACTGGGCCTCCCCACCTTCACGCCTCTGGAGGAGAGCCCCGCCAACGAGGAGTGATGGAGCAGCTGAGCGGATATGAGGTCGCAGACGGTGGGGGTGGGGGATTCCCTCACCATGGCAACCAGCTTGGAAAGATACGATGACGGTTGATGCGAACGGCTGGAGCTGTGTGCCTGTAGACATACTGCAACACTTTATGACAAACAAAAACACACGGGATGCTTTGAGATGAGAGACGCTTAAATCAATCAACACAGAAGTGACTGAAGAAACAATCTCCCACAAACTACGGGACTCAAGCTGTCCCTTTGGTAGAAAAAAGGGGCAATGCCACAACCTTTGTTGAGAGGGAAGGTCAGCTTCGTCGTGGCTGAGTTTCTCTACGCTTTTTTACACTGTGTTCCAATTATTGGTTTCTGTTGCACTGGCTGACTATGGAATAACATGATCATATTCTTTCTCTAATGTTCATTATCCGTCTCTTTCGTGGTTCCCTCATTCAGGAACAAAATGATTCCTCTAAGTAAGACAGAAAATGTGAAAAAAAATAAATAAAAAATTAGCAGCAAGTATGTGTGTGTGAGAGAGGAAGAGAGTGAGAGAGAGAGAATGAGTGGATGTTGCTATGCCAAAAAGTCTATTTAAAAGGCTAATGATTTTTCATGGAGAGCCCCTCTGATTTTCTCTGCTCCTCCATGGGGGTTTGGTCATATTCCTGTTAGGATTTCCTTGGGTTTTAATGTGGTTCTGACTTCCATCAAAATGTATTTGTTTAACAAAAGCTTACAGGCCTTCTTCTAACTTAGTTTTGCAATACATTATTCACCAAATAACACAAGTATCAAAATATTGTTTTGTGTTTCATTAAAACCAAACACTGGGCTCAGGAAAGTTTTCTAATACTATTTAAAATGTTTCCTCAACTAATCATTAATTTTCTTATGCTGACTTTAAAGACACTTAATTTTCTCTAAACCTAAATGAGGTTTAGAGAAGAGTTTAATTGAGGGAATGTCAAAGTGAAATTTGGCATTCCCTTATGGTGAAATCTCAAATGTCACTTTGCAATGATGATCAGTTAAGTTTTTTTAATTAATCTTTTTTATTTTTTAAAATTCAGACACCTTCATTTTTCTGTATCTATTATCTATTTTATTTTTCAAATGTTGAACAAAATAGTTTTATTTTGGTACACTGTATTTAATCCTGGCACGATCCAATTTAGACCCCACAAGTTTTTTACAAGTTTTACTCGTGAAAAACGTGTGAAGACTACATTTGCAGTGCTCCTCCTGAGCATTGCACTAACACCTAATAGAGTTAAATTATGAATACACACAGTGATCCCTGACCCTCCTCCTGACTTAAAATTTTTTTTAAGTCAAGTGTAGTTACCCCATTTAATCATCCCTAAAACTTAGCACTATTGATGATTTTTTATATTGGCCATTGTCCAGGGTGGTAGATCTATATAATAAAATACAAAAATATAGATTTTTTTGTTTCCTATTGATTTGTGCACGTGTGGTCAAGGGGGAGTTGGTACCACTATTGAAAAGTCACCTCCTGCTCGATGCACTGCATTTTATCCCACCTCAAGAACACAAAAAGAAGAGTTCCTCCATTTTATATGTTGAGGGGGGCGGTGACCTGGGCATAAATTGCCCAGGGTTTTATTTATGCTTGATTGGTCTCTGCCATAAACACAAAGTACTCAACTTGAACATCTTAGAGATTTTAATCCCAAACCCTATTTCATTCAAGGACAACAAGATGACTGGATGTTATATTAATCGCTTTGCAAAACTAGCAAACAACGACTCTCAATTATAAATTACAACTTGGCTATCTGCCAGGATGTGTAGACTTTGCTCATCTCTAAACACAAAGGAAGTTTCAATCAGTTTACCTCAGTTAAGTTGGAGTATGGTCGCTCTGCAAGAAGAGGCCACTTGTAATGTCAGAACCACATTTAATCCCAAATCACATCTAGTAGCATGCCCACTGTTTGCATTTCTTTACTTTAAGCATCACAGATTCCATTATGTAAAAGGGCTTATTATGAAATACAGAACAAACATTGTTATTCATACATTCAGACACATTTAAGAGTCACTTGTTTTACTGTTTGCTTGCCGAAAGAGAGGATGACAATGCCTCGTTCTCATTTTCACGGAAATCCATTCAACTTTAGTGCAAAAGGCCTTTTTTTTTACTGCAATTGGGAATCAGGAGCAGAGAACACATGCAGAGAAAGGAGCATGTCACTGTTAATGAACGCTCAAAGTCAGTTCAGTTTACTTATTTATTAAGCCTGGGATGTGTGAGCTTAGAAAGAAATGGTGTGACCTTAAGGGCTGACCTTTTTCCTTAGTTCTGTTTCTATTTTGTCTCTTTGATTAACGTGGCTGGAAGATCAGGTTTCTGCTAATAGCAAGGAGATGTTGCTGGATACATTTATTTTTGCATTCCAGTTTGTTTATGATATAAAATGTTCCATCCAGAATCTGATTTCATCAAGTTATAACATTACATGGTGAATTTACTTCCATCTTTATTCCATCTATGTCAATATATATTTATATACTGGCTTATCTTTACATTTGCTGCTCAGACCTTGCACCATAGTACTCTTCACTGTTCCTGTTTGCATGAAAAGCTCCCCATCCACCCATCCTGGTTTAAGTTGTCTACATTCAGTGACAAAATGCTGCTATGCCAGGGGCCACAACTAGATGAGAGATATATTTATTCTTTTATATTATCGCTGCTGCTGGAGGCCTACAGTACAAGAACTGTTAGATATACAGGAATCAAAGATGGTTAAGCTCTGGGAGATTTTTACCCCTTAATTTGAGGGTAGAAGGGTGCTGCTGCTGCTATGTCTGTACCTCTGTATATATTTTATTTATTTACTTTTCAGTTTAGGTCTGTTAGTCATTCTTTTTCTCTGAGCTAATTGCAAACATCTTCACATTGGGGTTGTAGATGGCTACTACTAAAAAAAGGTTGTCTTGAGACTGCAGGGATCTACAATACTGTTAGATTTTGCACTGCAGCCCTGCACTCACATAAAATATACATTTCAAACATTGGTTTTTACAGTAGTGCCATACTCAAATTTCTCTTTTTTCTTTGCTCTCCCCAGTCTGAAAAAAATCTAAAATCTTACAAAATTAAGTAAATATGACCGGAGGCTTGGGTGAAAGGAAAATGAGCTTCATCTAATACCAAGGTTAACGCTGTTTTTAGTGACATGCTGCATACTAATTCTCACATCCAAAGAAAAGACTGTCACTTTTGTTTGTAGAATCACTCAGTTAGGAATGAATATGATACATCACACAGACTTTACATTGCCAATGTTAAAAGTACAAGTAGGAGATCCAATTTAAGTGACTTGCAAGAATTGGAGCTTTTTGATATGGACTATATGACTTACCACACAGACTGTCATTTTGAAACACAAAAAGTTGTACATGCAGCTCTGGAAAAAAATCATCAGTCTCTCTGATTTTACTTTTTAGAACAATATGTCTGAGTAAAATAGACCTTGTTCTTTTATTCTATGAACTATTGACAACATGTCTGAAATTCTAAGCAAAAATGAAGTATTTATTTGCAGAAAATGAGAAATGGTCCAAATAATGAAAACCATGCAGTGGTTTCAGACCTCAATTAATGCAAAGAAAACAAGTTCATATTCATTTAGAGATAACAATACTAATATTGTAACTTAAGCAGAGTTTATAAATCGATATTTGGAGGAAAAACATGATATTTTCAATGACGTTCAGTGCAGTTGACTCTTAATTTTTTCCAGAACTGTATATACAAAATTTCTAAAACTTTTATAAGTGGTGTTTGTACATAAAATAAAAGTGGAAAGGTAATTTTTCTAGAATGACTCCTCCATTGATCATTTGCGCATCCTGACAATGAGGAATGGGTCCATCTGTGTTTTGCACTGTGTAAACACTAACTGAAAATGGCTGGACAATCACTGATCACATAAAATGCTCGACATGTTCGACAGGAGCAAAGGAACAGACTCTGCACCTCTCTTGACAGCTATAATATATAAATAAATAATAAGCAAAGCTTCAGTACGAACATACAAATACGATGGGACTAAAAATAATTGGAAAACAGCTGCCTGGTTTAATCTGTCTCGGTTTTAGATGTGACATTCGAATGTTCGATTCAGAAATGCATGAAAACAATAAGAAAGGATGGATCTGCCTGGTACAGATACTGTAGTGGGAGGAGGAAAGTGATCAGACACAGAGAGGATGACAATGCCTCACTTGCATTCTTGCAAATGATTTCACTTTATCAGTTATATTAAGAGGCATGCTTGAGATGCATCATAGTTCTAAACATAGACATGGAAAGCATGTTTGTATTACGCATCTTCATCGTTGTTGCATGGATACGAGTACCGTCTATAGGTTGTCCCTTCAACCCAATCCTTTCATGCATAAATATCAACTGTTTTCATTTTTACATGCAAGAGTTCTTCAAACAATAAAATTATTTGAGTCATTCTTTGTTGGTCATGGAGGAATGCATGCAACAAATACTTCTTACTTTCAATGTATGTTTAATTCTGTCAAAATTATATGGCTTTACACTTAAAGAAAACAGTGTAAGCTCATTTAAATCCAGTCTTCATCCATGGAAATGGTCTGTAGCAGCTGTAGGCGATGCTCTGTCATCTTCCATCACATATAATCTAAATTTCTGTGGTTTGTTCCTACATATTTAAACTATTATTGGCCGTTGCCCTCACCTCAAGTGAACCTGTTCAAATGAACACAAATGTTTCACTTTCTCTGTCTTTACAGCGGTTCCTTTCTCTCTCCCGTGGATCTATGCAGAAGCTCATTTCCTTTTGTGGTTGTAATGGTGTTCCTTAGTATGCTGAACAATGTATGTCTCTCCATGTCTTCTTTAAGTTACTACCTTGTTATTTTCTTCTGTTATTTCTTTGATTTGATTTGAGCGTCTTAAATCACTGATGTTTGAAGACAGTGTGGCACAGTTAGACCAACAGATTTCACCCTCAGCACCACAGTCTTTTTGTGAAAGACTGTGGTTCTCTGTGTGTGTGAAGGTAAAAGTTTATTATTCTAGAGATGAAAAAGGCTCAAATGCATATAGAACTACCATTGCAATTATGATTATTATTACTATTATACTACCAGTATATTGTAATATTATAGATGCTTTAGTTCAAGTAACTTCTTTGATTTTTTTACAAACAACTTTGAGATGAATGATTTATAAGAGTCTCACAGGTCATGATCTTTTTGAAAAGTAAGAAAACTACTGCTACAATTACTAAAATTGTGTTCTAATGAAAATAAATACAAACATAATGATACTGTTCTAACTTCCTTGTACTTTTGCATGGTGTGCCTTGAGACTGCATGTCAAAAAAGTGTTCACAGTGCAAAAACACATTACATCAGCAACACAAAACATTAACATCTTCATAATCTGATAAAGTGATTTTTTTTTATTTACAAAGCCCAAGAAGTTATACAGATATAAGTTATAGATGAAGGTCTTGCTGAAACTCTCCACTACAGTTCAGCTTGTGACTACATTCCGGAAATATCATGTTCAACAAAGACATTTGTGTTCCGTATTTTCTCAAAGAAAAATAAAAAAACACATTTACATATTCACTTCATTATGACAACCTTAAGATGTTAAAACTACGACAGACTGTGGATGGATGGATGGATGGATGGATGGATGGATGGATGGATGGATGGATGGATGGATGGATGGATGGATGGATGGATGGATGGATGGATGGATGGATGGATAAAACTTTAAAACACAAACATCAATCGACTCTTACCTTATGCATTACAAAAGGTGAAACAAGTCCAGTGCGGATCATATAATGTAAATTCTTGAAAAAATTATATGTTTGAAGTTCTCCATGATATTGATCTCACAGTTTAAACCACTTGAAAAAAGGATGGTTTTCTAAAAGGTTAACCTATTGCTTAGAAAAAATATTTATCTCCATGAAATAATTGTGCCTTTATCATCCACAGAGCCATTTTGCAGTTCTTACAGTTTTTACATTCCTATTAAATAAAATTTCCTTCGTGTTGCAATACTTGCGAGACAGTTTAACAAAACACGTTTCATGGTTATAGAGCCAGAAGTTTTAATTCTTAAGTTTAGGTTTTAGCACAAAGAACATGTTACATTTTTACATCAAGAGAAATAATACTGTTTCAGATTTTTACAGAAAAAAGATTTAAAAAATAGTAAACATAATAAATTTAATAGTAAATAAAAGCATGTAGGTTTTGAAATGTATTGTAAGGCCACAAACTAACTTTAAATCCATTAAATTACATGAAAACCTAGCTAAAGTTTGCCTTTTATCACGTAAAATAACAATATTATTTGTATTTAACACTATTGCTCACTTCTATGTCCATTATGCTGTAATTAGATTTTTTTTTCTTTCAATCAACTGAATTGAAGTGACGTGATGGCCACCTTGTAGGGCATAAAGGGTCAGACGTTGCAGCCCCTGGTGTCATCACTCACCTCTTCATGGCCTGAACAGAGAGCATGCAGTTCCAACATAAGCCTTGAGATGGCAGTGTTGACTTGTAAAATCGAGTGTTGTGGGGCACACGTCCAAGAGGATAAAATAGGGCATGGGTGTGTAACTAAGAGATTATGAATGAACGCTACACAGACATTTTCCTGCCTCAGTTTCTAACTAACCTGACCTTATCACACCATCAGCATGGATAATGTTTTTTTTTTTTACACCTACAAATCTTGTCAGCATTTATTCCAAATTCATAGTTATGGATGAGGTTTGGATATATTTCCCAATCATTAATTATAAAACCGCTGACCAAAACCCACCAAGGGCAGCTGGATCAGTTCGACACACTCATCTGTTTAATATTTAATGTCATAGCTCGAAATTTATTCAGCAGGTTCAGTTTGAAGTAGTGAAGTCACAGATGTTTAAATATTCAGCTTCTGCATCTATCCATCTTTCCATCAACGATGTCACCATATGTGGATCAGATTATTGTGGGTCACCGTCATGGCTTGCCTGTTTTGCATTGGTGAACATTTTTGCCAGCAGGCCTAAATGAAAACTTCTAGTTGTGTTGCAGCTGTAGATTATAAAACGGGAGAACAATAACAAATTGCATATTCTTAATTTTCATCCGCCCCTCACTAGTGACCGTTCCATCTCGGATTAAAGCCCTCATTTCTATTTCCGTTTGTTAGGGGGATAAAATGCTCAGCTGACTAATCCTCGACTAGCCCGCCAATAGTCAGCATCTATATTCCACCTGCCATTCAGAGCACAGACTTTCTGTGGATGTGTGGTATTAAAAGGCCATGTGTTTTTAGAGGTGAAGCTGATGGCTGGATTTGTGGCTGGTGAATGTAAAGATTAATGGAATGCTAATGCAAATTTTTAAGCCCACAGCAAATGTCATTTTCTGTTTGCAGTGGAGGATGTACATTTTCTTTTAATGTAATTGTCATTATCTTGTACTTGATCAAGCAGAAAGGACACAGTAGCATCCACCAGAGGAAGTCAGACGTATACATTTTATGAAAGAAAATTCAGCACTGGCCAACATAACTGTAAATTATTTTACGTTTTAAGCAAAATATGAAAGTTGTTGGACATACTGTCATTTATTACGAGTGAATAGATATCCATTTTGAGTACTGATGCTAGAAGCAGGACAAAATTCACCATTAAATGTGATATATTTATATTCTAAAGCACTTTAAATTGAATACCTTAAGAAAATCCAAAATTTCTTCAACAACATAAAGTTATGTGAGAAAAAACACAATTTTGTGATCTTATTTCTGTAAATCCTACATGTTTAAAAATACAAATTGAAATAATTAAGATAGGAGAATGTTGTTCATTTATTCACTTCCAAATAGAAAATTTTTTTAATGCTGCTTTATTTCAAATGCATTAGCATAAAGTGCATAACTTAAACAATAGGGATTTTTTTCAATAGACAAATCAACTTTATTTGTGTAGCACATTTCAGCAATAAGGCAGTTGAAAGTACTTTACATAATAAAAACACAAAAATTGACAATTTTTCCAGTGGTTTCATTTTCACATTGAAATGTTGGCTAGTGTTTCATACATGCATATATTGTACATATGTTGCTAAAACAATCATTATATCATGACAGTATGGAAAAAAATGGAAAGAAAGGCCCAATTTCAAAGTGCTAAATGACAAAGTCCAATTTATTTAAAGTTATTTTTCATATTTAGCATTTTCATAACAACTGTAGGTAACATAGTTACTTAACTGTGCCATAAAATGGCAGTTTGCAACTGGAAATCACACAATTTCCCCATTGCCTATTTCTACTTAATGCAGCCTGCTGGTGAAACTGAGATTACTTAAAGCTTAAATCTGCCAGGGGTATGAATAATTCTAAGGTAAACTGTATGGTTATAGTATGAGAAAAGTCCAGGAAAGGCATAAAACTGCATAACCATAAAAAGAAAAAATAAAATAAAATAAAAATCAACCATTACACAAATTAGAAAGAATCAGATTTTTGTTTTGGTATAGGTAATGCCTTTTGCTTCAAGTAGACAGGTAGGGATTGACTAATTAAATTAAGTGAAGGGTATATAATTAGATAATAGATTTCAGAATGAGTTGCTGAGCATATACTAAATGTATTCTCTCAATAAAAAGGCATTAAGATGATGACATTAAATTTAATGACCAACTATATCTTTATAATTCAGACATAAAGGTACTAAATGATGATGAGCAACAATCAGGGGAGATATAATGTCAGTGTCCTGAGAAAGATTAAAGAAGGTGCTCTGAAGGTTAGACAGCAGTCATATAAGTGGGCACTTTCAACTGATGAATCATCCTACATGTAATCCACTTGAGGGTAAATCAACAAGCCATATTTAAAACAACCAGTGATGAACAATGAAAGGAAATGAGGCATTTGAGTGCCTGAATGAGTTCTGCTCTGCTTTCAGATTCAACCTGGGTGCAGTACAAAACGTCTCAATGAACTCAGCTGCACTCATTCTGATGTAATGTAGCGTTAGGTAAATCTACGGATAGAACAGATTTAATACTTACGGTGAAAGGAATGTTTTAGTCACAGAAAAGCCTGTCTTCTTCCAGAAAATGTATATCATGTGCAGGGAAACTAGAATTTTCCTCCACTGATAGCATAGTTTGAAAATCAACAAACTGTTAGAAAGAAAAATACAGATTTTTAGAAATTAACAAACACAAAACAATATCAACCAAATAATCAAAAGTGTGGTTGTAGTCAAAAGGTCTGAGATGTTCTCTTATGGAGTGATCAATTTTCCATGTAGGTTAGAGTGCTCAAATGAAATGCAGTTATCTGAAAAGTTTATAAAAATCAATGAAGATAAACAATTGCTCGTTTTCACTGTGTTTTGCATGCATCACTTCAGTGTTGTCATAGAAGACAGTGTTATCCTGGGACTGATATGACTCAGTCATTCTTTCTGATGTAATTCACTCAAATACAACACTTTTAAATTACCAACCACCCCGGCAGAGTTGTTTCTGAGGCTTCATGTAAGATGCTGTTGTTAGACTACAATGGAGATTGCTGATATTGTGAGTCAGTTATTAAATAACTTTTACTATTATAAATATCAAACTTCTAAAAAGAGAGCAAGTTGAATCTTCACTAAAAGTTCCTTTTTGGCCCAATGCATTTGCATGGTCTGCAAAAAATTTATTCGACATTAGAGACAAATGTCCACTTTCTAATCAGCTTCAGGGCAACCAAGAAAGTAAAACTTTTACTGAAGTTTATAGCGTGAGTTGGCAGGATACATCAGGATCTTATATTGATCCCTGTTTCTGCAAACTTCTCTAATGTCTCTTACTTCAAGAGCACATAAGTGTTAATGTAACAAAGTCAACATCTGACATTGCATATAATGATTATGTTTCTAATGCAGAAAACAGGCTTAGTGAGCAATTTTATAAGGAATCGCATTATGCATCCTTGTAGAGTTTGAATATAGATATTACAGGTGTTTAGCAGAGAAATTTCCCAGTGACCTGCAGATGAGCGGTGGGCAGTTGGGGGAATTGGAGGTCAGGATCCTACGTCCATATTCAAATTTGATATAGACTATTAATTAGAAAAAGGTGTCAAGTTCTTCTGAAGAACTTTGAAAGTAAAACTTGGAAATGTAAAATGAAGAGACAAGTCGCAATCTGCTCTTTAATAGTCTTATGTTTTGTCAGCCCA